CTCAGCCAATGAGAGACCCTGTCTCAAAAGAGGTGAGTAGCACTACTGAAGATGACACTCCTACACACACGCACACTCCCACACGTGTAAACTCACACACACTCCCACACAAGGACAAAACAACAAAGACAGAAGACCAAAGCAGCAGAATCCTGACTCAAAACCGAAGTCTGGTTACAGCAACCTGACCTAGTTTCCATGTCATATGGCCTCATAATGTTATCAGGAAATCCAAGTTCATCCTCTCAAGGCTCCAGAAATCTTGAGAGGAGACCGAAGGAGTTGAAGCTAAAATATTTCCTGAATGTAAAAGTGCTGACCTATAATTCTCCTTAAACTTTGTTGTTTCTATAGTCTAACCCTTCTATGAAGCAGCTGTTGTGTGACTGGTGTATTCTGGGCTTTTAACATGCTCAGCACAGTGGTGCTGAGAAGCTAATTGTTCTCTTGGAAAAGAAATGATTAGACTCATACAAGGACGTTCCCTGAAAGAAAGTAGGCTGAGTAGTCACTAATAGAAATTTTAGCTCGTAGATACTAATGCTGGTGTCTTCACACTCATATAAGGATTGGTTGCTATTTCCTTTTCATTTGACGTGAACATGAAGGGCAGACTTCAAAAGCACCCTAAGGAAAGAATCCCTACCATCTTTGGACTCATTTGTTTCTGCAGATTGCTTGATATTAGTGTTTCAAGTTAGAGGAGATCCTAGCATCTTGATGCAAGATGCTAGGCGTTCTTAGCTTTCACCTGGAAAAGGATGACTATGCCCTTTAGGATGACTCAGTGCCTAAAGGGGATGATGGGCATTTGCTCATAAGTAGAGGCCAAACCAAGAAGATATTTTGGTGAAGAATGTGGGTGCTTTTTGCCCCTGTTCAAAAAGGTCTGCCTGAAGCTAAAGTGAAGAGTTTTTGGATTAATTTCATTGGCAGAGGAAATCTCAAAACAGTCTAGTAATGACTCTGTCATGTGGTTGTTAATGTTAACTCTAATGAAGATTTATAATGAAAAGGAGCAAGCTGAATAAGTAAAAATACAAAATGTACAAATTGAAGAGGAAAGGGGCACCAGGAAGTGGAATGGAGCTAAATCCTGTGTTCAAGGAGATAAACAGACTAAGCAAAGAAATGGAGTGGTGACCTCAGGGCGAGATCTCACTCAGCTAAGTTTCTGACTTTTGGAAAGGAATTAAAGAAACGCTTAGAACCAGATGTGGTAGTATATGTCTCTAATCCCAACAGAGGCTAGTAGCTCTCTTAGTTCAAGCCCAGCCTGGCCCACGAGCAAGTTCCAGGATAGCCAGGCTTAGGCAGTGAAGGAAACCATGAAAGACAAAGTTGGTGAAAGGTGTAATTGAAAAGGGGGTGGGGGAGAGTGTTCCAGGTCCAGTAAGCAGCAGAACTTGGGAGCTCTGGACATACGGTTCTGGCTTTATAGTCAAGGAGAGACTAAGGAAAGCAGATGAGGCTATGCATATGTCAGGGTTATCTCTGAATGGAGGCCTAGAAAGGCCATTGTGTGCAACTGTGAAGTTGAAGCCTGGATTGCCTTGGAGATTGAAAGATGTTGGAGATGCCCTAGTCATGGTATACCTTCAGAGAAGAGGAGAGCTGCTAACAGGGAGAGGAACCAGCCCAAGAGAAAGAAGTGTGTTGCAGCCAACAAAGTTGAAAGGAGCTGGAGATCTGAAGAGTGTTTGATATTAAACATAGAAATGCAGCGTTTGGTGTTTGCCCAGTTGGTATTCAATCTTGATTTGGTCTAGTGTTTCTTCACTGTGCTCCCTTCACACATTTTGGAATGGTAATGTGTTTCCTGTGCTGGAATAGGTTGGAAGTATGTGACCTGCTTTTTAATTTTGGGGTTGCATGAATCTCAGAAGAGACTTTGAATACACTTTTAAATAAGTTTGAGACTGTTATAGACTATGGGGACTTTTGAAGTTGGACTGAATGCATTTTTGCATTATGATATGGTATAAGCTTCTGGGGGCCAAGAATGTGATGGCTTGAAAGAAAATGCCTCCCTCAGAGAGTGGTACTATTAGGAGGTGTGCCTTAGTTGGAGTAGGTATGGTTTTGCTGGATGAAGTGTGTCACTGTGGGGTGAGGTCTCCTATGCTCAAGCCATGCCTAGTGACACAGTTCACTTCCTGCTGCCTACAGATCAAGATGAAGAAGTCTCAGGTCCTCCGGTACCATGTCCACCTGCATGCCACTATGTCAGGACTTGATAATGGACTGAACCTCTGAAACTATAAGCTAGCCCCAATTAAATGTTTTCATTTATGAGTTTTTGTGGTCATGGTCTCTTCACAGCAATAGAAACCATAAGACACCATTGATAAAGCTAATGCTGGGTGAATTCTGACTGCTTTGCGTTGACAGAAACCCTACTAAGACACCACTGATAAAGCTAATGTTGGGTGAGTTCTGCTCATTTTGAGTTGTTTGCTCCAATGTTAAGCAGAGGCTGTCAGTCTTCTTTTTATATTATATATAGGCAACAGTAATGGTTCCTCTGTGAGGATTTAGTAGCATACTACTCCACTTTTATACTTACTACAGATAATGTCAAAGCTGGGTGTGGTGGCAATAGAGGGAAATTGGAGAACAGTCAGTACAGCATCTTGAAGTCTGCTTTAAAAATTTCTCATACAGATTCTTTTTCCAGCTCACAGCTATAGCTATATGTTTGTGTGAGTGTATATGCAGGCCACACAAGGACCTTGGGAGGGTGTCATTTTTCAGGTGCTCATCCTGGAACTTCCAGTGAGCTCCAGGAGTCCTCTGTCTCTTGATTACAAGATCATAAAGCCATGTTTGGCGTAAGAAAGTGAGCTCTAGGGACTGCACTTGGATCCTCATGCTTACAAAACAAGCTCGTTACAGTGATCTCTCCATCTCCTGTATTTAAAAAGACTGTGCGTGCATGTGTGCGTGCATGTGTGTGTGCATGCGAGGGTGCATGTGTGTGTGCATGTGAGGGTGCATATGTGTGTTATGTTTTGCCTGCAAGGATGTATATGTAACATGTGCAGGCTTGGTATCCTTGGAGGCCAGAAGGGGGCACTGATCTCCTGGAACTAGAGTGACAGATGATTGTGAGCCTCTGGGGTGGGAGTTACTGGGAATCAAACCCCAGTCCTTAGGAAGAGCAACCAGTGGTCTTAACCACTGAGCCATTTCTCCGGACTTCCATAGCTATCTTTCATACACTCACTCAATCCCAACTTTTTGACTACTCATTTTAGAATTTATTTGTATCACTTTTAATATAATTTATAAATGCTTGATTGATGTCTTTTTTAATGGGGTAAGCTCTTTAACATTAAAATAAATGTCCTTTATCAAGTGCTAAACACATGGGAAATTATGTATACATGCTCCTTATTTTGTTTAGAATATACTGGTTACAAGAAACACAGGTTACAACTTTCTTATGTAACAAGGGATATAACAGGAAAGGAATCTGGACAAATAAGATCTGTAGCATATTTTATGTTTCACTATGCTAGCATAGAGTCCAGACTCAAATAATGTTACTCAAGTTTCTCTATTTGTTTCTATAGAAGAGCATTTGAGAGCAGAAAGTATCCAACTGTGGTTAAATTTGATAAAAAATTATGCAAAAGCCTAAGAGCAAATGGAGCTTTTTGGAAATTTAGCAGTATTAGATACTCCAGCCAAGGGTTGTCCATTAGGAGCATATGGGGGATGTCTACTTTTAGAGGAGCTGTTATATTCATGGTGCCAGGTAGTCTCACCTCATTTCAACTCTATTTTTCCAATTTCAACATTTTCCATTATAAATCAAGGTTACTAAAGTATCATTTATGAAATAAAAATGGTTTGTCAGCATAGTTTTGACAAATGCATTTTATATCCACATCTCATAATCAAGAAAAAGTAGTTCCACTGCCTTCTCCAAATCCCTCAAGGCCCTTTAGTCACTCTTCCTGCTTCCTAGTCAACAAATGCTTTCTATGGTTTTTGTCTTTTCAACAATGTCATATATTTGAGAATGGTACCTCTTCATTTTGTGTTTCCAAGTAGATTGCACTGAGACTATGTACCAACATTGGGTACTAAGAGTATATAATTTTAAGTTATGTCTTAATTTTGTATATATGTATACCTACTTGAGTTGGTATCCATTGGGATATCTGGGTCATAACGTAAGTATATTATTTTTGAAAGTAAATAAACTCTCAAGCCATCTCTCCAACTGTTTGTTCAATTCTGTATTTCTACTAATATTTTGGCTTCTGTCCGTTACTGGTATTTAGACTAAAAAAATTAACCAAGTACATTTTCATTGAGGGGCATGTGTGTATGAATTTAAGCACACATGTGCTCAAATACCTGTTTACTTCTGGCATCTTCCTGAAGTGCCCTTCACTGATTGGTTAGGTTAGCTGGTCAATGAGCCCTAGAGATCTGCCTGTCTCTGAAATGCCAGCCCCGGGGTCACAGAAGCACATCACCAATATAGATGCTCTTTATCTAGTGCTAGATAGCTTTTTATAGGGGTGCTAATGTTTGCATGGCAAGCAAATATTAAACAAGCCATCTCTTCAACCCTTCATTATGACTTTGATTTCCATTTTCCTAATTACTACATGGCTACCATTTTTTTTTTTTTTTTTTTTTTTTTTGCTGTGTAAGAAACATGCAGAAGAAAGTAAGTCATATGAACCAATCAAATATTAGTATGTGGGAAAGGTTAGCTGAGAATTACAGCTAAACTCAAAATGTTTATCTTTTATTTCAAGACAGTTTCTTGTGTAGCCCTGGCTGTCCTGGAACTGTCTCTGTAGACCAGGCTGACCTCAAATTCACAGAGATCTGCCAGCCTCTGCTTCCTCAGTATTGGTATTAAAGGTGTCTGCCACCACCACCTGGCTCAAAATGTTTATTTTCTGGAAATCCACATAATGTGAAAGCACAAATTCTTTGATGAGGAAGTCAAACCATGCATTCTGGGAAAGATTTTTATGTTCACAGAAGAGGGTAAAACAGTGAGTTGGAACAATTGCTACCATTCTTGCGTGTTGTTGTGACACAGCAGAACCCAGCTGAGCCTGGAACATCTTAGTGGAGGCTTTATCACCCATGTTTCTTGCTTAAATCATGTGCCTACATGGTTAGCACTTTTCTAAGGAACATGCAGAAGAGTCTAAGTTTTTTGTTTTTCCATTGCAGAAACAGAAATTATTTTTGATGCAAGGCTGTTCTATGTTAAATCCTAATATGATTACTATGTGCCTGTAGCCGAATACTACTGTGAAATTTAAGAAAAGACAGGAGGAACTTTATAGAGGTGAAACCCCATTCTTTCCCTATGGTTGGCCAAGGGCAGAGTGAATAAGAACACACATCATGTTTCAAATGCCATTTTTCAGGATAGGAGCCCTTGTTATTGCTTTTTGGCACAGTCAGGACAATACACCTGCTCATCATGAAACACAAAACGCTTGCTGGCCAGATTCACAGAACAACTTTTGCAGTTGAAGCAGTAGTCATGCCAGGAATTATCCTCATAGGTTACCACATTGGAGCCTTTTCCAAACCCAGTGATGGGGTTCTTGCACCCAGCACACTTCTTGGCCACAAAGTTCTTGTAGCAATCTACGCAGTAATACTTGTCATCCACAGCAGTGAAACGCTGCCCACCCAGCACCTTGGAGCAGGAGGAACATACAAAGCACTCAACATGCCAGGGCTGATCCTGGTAACTGATCCCTCCAGATGTGATGGGATTGTTGCATTTCACACAACGCTTGGCAAACTTGGTCTCATGGCAAGCCACACAGTAGAATTCCTCATCTCTAGGGAAAAAACTTTGGGTTCCAATGACTTTCTTGCAGTTGCTGCAGATGAAGCAGTTTTTATGCCAGACGTTACCCTTGTACTCCACATTCTCATCTCCTGCCACAATATTCTTGAGGCACCCTTTGCATTTGGGGGAGGCCTCCTGAGTGGCACAATTGTTGCACAGGATCTTGTTTTCCCAGGACACAAAGGTCTCATTGGCCAAGGGCTTATGGCACTTGATACAAATGAAGCAGGTACTGTGCCAGTATCGGTTCTTATAATGCACCTCCTTTGAATCTGCACCTATGGGTTTGTGGCATTGCTCACAGGTATTGGCACAGTACTTGTCAAAGCATGCCATGCAGCAGTTGTAGCCATCCTTCTCGACATACTTCTTCCCTGGCAAGGGATCCTTGCAGTAGTGGCAGTGGAACTTCTCAGACATGGTGCTTTATATCTGGGGTTGCGGGGGGGGGGGAACCTCACATTGGATGTTCAAAAAACAGGATTTGTTTGGGATGGGCTGGATACAGTTGAGAACAGTTATCTGTTGCTGCCTGGAGATGCTTGCCCATGCAGCTGTGTAGGCTGTCTGCTGGGGGGGGGGGGTGTGGATATGAAATGAGGACAGTAGCTTATTAGGCTGCACAAAAGGAGGGCTTGGGCTGTATTCTAGGACCACCAAGCTCTACTAATATCTATATTCCACCTCTCAGAATGTCTTCAATTACACAGAAATAGATGGCGCAGATAACACAGAAAAAATTGCCAGTGTAGTTTAGCCAAAGGTCACCAACAATTCCTCAAGCAGGACAGGTTGAGGCTGTCACTCATCGAGGAATGGAGGACACACATCCCAGTCAATCAGATGGCATCTCAGTAATAGGTTGTAAAGCAGGGATATTCACATTTGTGGTTGAGTTAGATGTTTTGAAGGAGGGTTTAAGGAAGTAGTACCTTCTTGCCTTACTTTTGTGATGAAGCAGGGGTGGCTGTATGATTCATTATCTTCATAAATGGCGCCTATGAAGAGGAAAGGCTAGAATGAGTAAAACTGTAATCAGTGAAGAAGCAACAGACACTGATTTGTCATTTTCACTTTGTGTATTGTTTGGTGACCTGAACAATATTCATGATTTTGTTCATGTTCAAATATCAGAAAGAAGTCTAATTTTGTTTTGACCATTACTAATTGTGAAGTAGCTTTGCCTCATGCTCTTTTGCTTAACTAGAAAATACCAAGGCCTAGTTATATCGGGCCAGCCTCCTTGATAGCACTGTGCCATTTACTAGATTTCTCAAAATATAAATTTGAGTGTAGTGACTTATACCGCAAGCCTTAAAAACTTAGAATGGTCAAGTTTGAGGCCAGTCTGGCTTATATAGAGAGATCTCTATCTCAAACAAGAATATGTTGGTTAAGAACTTGGGTCATGGTCACAAAACTGTATTGTAGAATTTTATCTTCAACAGTTGTGAAGATAGACTTAAATTAACATATCTGCTTGAGTTTTTAAAAATAATTTATTTTTATTTTATATATATAGGTGTTTTGCCTGCAAGTATGTCTGTATGCAGGAATTAGATCCCCTGGAATAGGAGTTATAGACAGATCTGAGCTGTTATGTCAGTGCTGGGAATTGAACCCAGGTCCTCTCGAAGAGCAGTCAGTGCTCTTAAATACTGAGTCATCTCTCCAGCCCATGCTTCATTCAGTTTCTTTATATGAGTATAGAAATGTTTGTCTTCTTATTGAGAGAAATAACACAACCTAACAGCTGGCATCAAATCACAAATTAGAAGGGCTAGTGAGTCAAATTTAAGCAATTGTGCCAGGAGACCAGTAGGAATGTGAGAATAGGAAAATGTTATTATTCATATTGGATGGTATCATTCAATTCATTCAAAAGAATATATTATACAGAGAGCATAAAAGAAGTGTTGCTGCTAGGCTGTGGTGGTGCACATCCTTAATCCTAGCAGGTGGGAGGCCGAAGCAGGCAGATCTTTGTGAGTCTGAGACCAGCCTGGTCTACAAAATGAGTTCTAGGACAGCCAGAACTGTTACAGAGAAACCCTGTCCTGTCTCAAAAGGCCAAATAAATAAATTTAAAAAAAAAAGAAAAAGAGAAAAAATGTTGCCCTTGTCCTGAGTAATTTGTCATATTACGTCCAATAGAAACATTGCAAAGATGACGACTACTCAACAAAGGAAATTAAAGTGCAATGCACAGGAGCACGTTCATATACTGAGGTTGTGCCACCTTTTCAACTTCAGTACTATTAGCAAATACATAACTTATGTCTTGCTTTCACAGTTCTGTCTTCTGTTTTGCTACTTTCTGGTCTTAACATTTTGAACTACCTCATTCTGTTAAGCAATGTCGCTTTTAATTTCTTCAGTGTCTCAATATGGTAAGTAACTCTCTGAATGTAAGCAATTAGAGTAAAATCCAGCCACTTAAGAAGCTAGAGTTTACTTTTTTTTTTAGGTGGTGGTGGTGCAGTTTGGGGCATACTAGTCAACTACTCTAAATTGAACAATTCTAATTGAGCTCATATAATTTTTAATGTATTGAAAGTTTTGCTTTAAGTTACTGCATTAAGAATTCATTATTTGAAGACTTTTTTTTCAAGATAGTATCTAGAAATAAAGATATTACAGAATAAGAATCAAGAACAACAGTGCTGGGTGGTGGTGTCACACACCTTTGATCCAAGCACTGGGGAGGCAGAGTCAGGTGGATCTCTGAGTTCAAGGCCAGCCTGGCCTACAGATCGAGTTCCAGGACAGTCAGGGCTACACAGAGAAATGCTCTCTCAAAAACAAACAAACAAACAAAAAAACCCAAACAAACCAAACAAAAAACCCAACTCAACAACAACAACAAAATAACCAAACAAAAACCCAACGGGGCTGGGTTTTACTGGTGGTGCTTCTGGTTGCATCATGGCATCTGAAATTAAGACACCATCGAGACAGAAACAATCTCATCAAGATATCCACAGTGAGAAGTAAATGGGATGCTATTAGTTTCTATAGGTGAAGAGACTGAGGCAGTAAGAAATGCCTGGGATTGCTTCCAGGTTCTTGCTATTACAAATGATGCTGCTATGAACATAGTTGAGCACATGTCTTTGTTGCATGGATGTAGATCATCTGGGTGTATGCCTAAGAGGGGGATTGCCGGGTCCTGTGGTAGACTGATTCCCATTTTCCTGGGGAACTGCCATACTGATCTCCAAAATGGCTGTACAAGTTTACACTCCCACCAGCAGTGGAGGAGTGCTGACTGGGAAAACACAGGACTACTTATATTTGTAGTTTCAGAAGGAGCCAAAAGCTCTCCAGTATCTTCATTAGTTCATGAAATGGTGAACCATTGCTTTGAATTACTACCAAAATCCTGAGTCATTTTTGGCAAGAAAGTTCTAAAGTGAATTTTATGGAGTCACCAATTAAAATCCTCAGGGTTCTGAGACAGTAACAGATGCTCAGTTAACACCATAGTTCAGACTCTCCCCATCATTCAACTCCTCTTAAAGTGGTAGATCCTATTCTCTTTACTTCTGTAAAACAAAGATTATCATGAGAATCCCAGCGGTGATCCAAATGGATTTGCTGATAACGATTAAGCGGATGCCATGGCATAAAGTCAGCTCCCGCTTGGGATTTCTCTTGGCATACCCCTTTCTGAGCACTGTCAACACCATGCTGACTATTTTCACTTAAAAACTGAGGCCCTCCCATCCTGGATATATTTCCAGGATTGCGTTTTGGGAAGGCTTCTGTTTATAAAGCCCCTTTACAGGCACCGTCTCATCTTACTCTCTCAAAAAGCTTGGGTGCATCTATTGTCATCCTTATCTTAATCGTGTTCACAGTCAAAGAAAAGGGTGCATTTTATCCTCTCTAATCAATCAGCCTTTGAGCGACTTAACTCCTTTGCTCTCCCCAAGAGCCTCATGGGGGCTGTTCCAGGTCCCCTTGAAGCTCAGAGTCCTGCTTCCCAGCTGAGGCAGGACTGGACACGCAGGACTCTACAGTTAGCATCCTGTAGGGCTGTCTGCGGCCCAGGACCCCACCAGGACCTTTCTTCCCAAGGCCGGAGGGAGCGTGAAGGATCGGGGACCCCAAGAAGCCCTAGTCAAAAGTGACACGAGGACAGTTTTCCTCACTTCCAGGTCATTTCTCACATCGAAGAACCAACCTTTTTTCCGTCACCAAAACTCAAGGGCCCCTGCAAGGCCTTGGCACCTCACGAAGCGCTGCGTGATGGATGAGGGCAAACCGGGCAGATTTTTTTTTTTTTTTTTTTTACTCCGGCCGTAGGACAGGCAACCACCAAAACCAAAAAGCCCACACAAGTGAGGCAGGCCTGGCTCTCGCTTCCCCTGGGTCACACAGGCTCGCAGACCGCCCAGAGGAGAACGGCGGCCCGTCACTCCCTTAGGGCAGCAGCTAGAGATGGATGAGGCCCCTGGGCGAGGGAGAAGGAGACGCTGCCGAGCATGCCGCCCTCCGCAGGGGAGAAGCTCTGGATTCCCGCAACCGTTACTCCCCTCGCGCCCGCCCGCAGCCTCCCAGGGCTGCGCCCCTCGCCCGCTCTGATTGGACGCCGTGGCGGAGGGGGCGGGCAGACCCCCCGGATGAGGCGCGCGCAGGCGGGCTGGGGGGGGCGCGGCTGGGAGGGCTGCGCGCGCCGAGCGGCCGGTGGGCTGGGGCGGGGGCGCGTGCGCGCGTGCGCGTAGGAGCCCGCGGCGCGGGAGGGGCGGGAGCTCGGGAGGCTGCGGAGGGGGCGGGTCGGGTCGCGTCGCGTCGGGCGCCACGTCCGCAGCCGGAGCCGCCGCCGCCGCCGCCGCCGCCGCCGCCGCCTCGGAGCGAGGCTTCCGACTCCCGAGCAGCGAGCAGCGAGCGAGCGCATCTGGGTCGCGCAGCCGCCCCGGGCCGCGCGTCACGGCCTCTGCTGCCCCGGCCGCCTGTGCAGTCCTCGGCGCCGGCGCCCCCGTCCGGCCCCGGCCCCGGCCCCGGCCCCGATCCCGCGGTGAGTGAGCCGGTCCCGGCCCCGGCCGTCAGCCCCTCCGCGCCCCCGGCCTTTTGGGGGTCGCCGGGCGCGGAGGGGGAGGGGGAGGGGCGGGCCGTCGTTGCCGGGCCGATGGAGGTTGCGCGGCCGGCTCGCCGCCTTGGGTCCGTGAGTTCGCGGACGCGGTGTTGGGAGATCGGGGCTCGTCCCGAAGCCTCGGTCTGACCGGTGTCAGGCTGGCGAGCGGGAGGAAGAGGAGGACGGGGGGACGGGGAGGAGGGGGCGTCCGGGAAGGAGCCGGCTTCCGCGCCCCGCTCAACTTGTGACCTGTTGATAAACGGTCCGGGTGGGCTCGGAGCGGAGCTCCCCTCCGCTCTTCCTAAATTGGGAACTGCACCCCCGCGCCCGTTCCAAACGTTCCCGCAGGTGTGGGGGTGACGGGGGCGCCGGGAGCACCCGTGAGTGCAGGCTGCCCGCCCCAGGCTGAATCCCGAACCCAGCGTGCCCCGCACACGCAGCTTCGGGACTGTCCCCGAGCTTCCCCTGCGGATCTCATCGGATCGTCTCTCTCTAACTAAACACGTCTTTGGTTGGAATTCTGCGGGATCTTGGGTGTGCTGGGTGGACAGCGGAGGAAGGAGGTGCCCAAGTCAGCACTAGCCTCTAGGGTCATTTTCTGCCTCTCCTGCCACGTCACTCCCTCTGCTAAAGGAAAAAAAAAAAAAAAAAGCTGTGCCTAAAGGATAAAGGTGGATTAATGAGGGGGAAAAAGGGCTTCTGGGAAGAGTTAGAACACCTAGAGTAGGAAACTAAATCTTACTCGATTGTGTCTTTGTGAACGCTGCTAATCCAAAAGGAAACATTGTGGTTATTTGTATCTACTATTGGTTAGTAGTTTAAAACTTCTACTAGTTGTTGCACTCTAGGGGTATCACGACAACAGGTAAGTGTATGTCCACCCCAGCTTTAGCAACGTTTAATAAAGTCACTTAGATCTTTCATTTTTTCACTTTTTTTTGTTTTTGTTTTTTAAATATCACTTATACCATTAACCAAGTTCAATGAAAACCTCATTAGAAAAGCTTATGTGATTTTTACATTAGCTAAATATTTTCACAAATCAAGAATTTGGTTCTTTTTTAAATTATTATTTCTGGGGAAAATCATAACTTTCATGTATCAGTCCTTCAGTTTTTGCCCTTTTCCTACTTCTTAATGGTATTGCATCAGATTACATACAATTAAGAGTAGGGTCTTTGTTTGTATGCCCATTCATTGTCTCAACAAAATCTGGCACAAAGTAGGGATACCAATATCTACTGAACTAATGACGTGTATTTTTTTGAGGATGGCTGATGTACTGGTTTTCTGGCAGAATATTTTAATCCCATTCCATGTTTCATTTAAGACAACACTTAAACTTTTTATTTTGAGATGGTCTATTGTTATTTGCCATTTTATGTGTGATTTTTAAACTTTCATTGACCAATTTTTCTTACTTGACAAACTCAATGTCTTTCTTTTAGCCACCTTTTATACAAGCAATGTTCAGTATTGTCACCTACAGAAGCATAAAGACAGAAAGGTGGTGTTTTATTGTATATATTGCTTGTTAGTATATGTGTAATAACAGGAAGACTGTTACTTGAAACAAATGTTTTGCAGTGACTTTGAAGGTACAATGTTGCACACTGCATTTTTGTAGTTGAGCTTTATACTATTAACTTACTTGATTTTAGAGGGTTATAGCCAGAGGCTTTTCATAAAACCTAATTATATAAAAGGTTAACTGAAACCCACAAACAACATTTCTTCACTAGTGATTTTGTTTTTCTTATCCTCCCCCCCCCACACATATACACACACAACAGAGGGAAAGGTTCCCAACAGTTAACTGGTTACTTGTTTCTATTATTGGAATAAATTACTCTCTAGGGAATAGTGGTATTGATATTTGTCCAATATATTTGCCAGCTGCTGTAGTAGTCTGTACTTGATAAGAACTTTGCCTTTCCCATTGAAGTCTCTGCTGCTGACTTTACTGTCATTATACACTCTGTAGTAAAGACATCTTTTATAGTTGATATTATAATGGTTTGTCCATGTCAGGGCCAAAAGATGGAACTGATTATTATGTCTGTAAAATAAATCATTTGCTTTGATCTAAGGCTGTTGTCATCAGTGCTCTCTTTAGGGAAGCATTATTAGCTTGTATACATCATGAGCTCCTCAAAAATAGATAATATATGTTCTTTCTTAAGGAATTATCAAAGTGGTAATTGCTTGGAAAGTGTATTCCCTGTAAGTAATTTCTGGGCTAGAGTAGTACCTGTGAGCATTTAAATGCATACAAGGATAAAGCTACTTAGGACTCAATTGTATGTTAAACCAAAGACTCAATGAGTTTAGAACAGAATGACTTATACAGAAATTAATAATTTGGGGGGCTGAAATGATGGTACAGTGCTTGAAAGAACTGGCTGCTCTTCTAGAGGACGGGCAGTTTAATCCCCAGCACCCACAGGGAGGCTCACAAGCAACTGTGACTCCTGTTCTAAGGGATTGGATGCCGTCTTCTGGTTTTCACAGGCACTATATGCATGCACATGGTACACACACATACATTTATATACACAGGCCAAAAAACACAAAATTCAAAAAATTTTATTAAAGGACAACTTTTGTGTATTTGTTTTTGAGATAGTCTTGTTTTCTAGCTCTGACTGGTTTGGAGCTCCCTGTAACCAGGCTGGCCTCAAACTCATGGCATTCCTGCTTTAGCCCCTAGGGTGTTGGAATTATAGTGTTGCAAGATACCTGGCTTTCTACTTCAATCTTAGTTAAAACTTTAGGATTCAGTCTTCATGTGTGCATTGTAAAGATGATCAGATCATTTGATACTAATCTTTTATACTAATCTGTGACAACTAACACTTGTCTCTAGTATTTGATCCTGATCCATTGCTTTAATGCCTGCATTAAACTTTTAGGAATCTTATAAATTCCTTTCTTGACCTCTATGAAGCTATACTAACTATTCAGTGAATATTGACTATTTATTTGAAGGTTTATTTTTGTTAAATTTCCTTCAGACGTGAACAACCCAGTGAAGACTGTAAGTCCATCTTTATCACTCATTAGTATGATCCTGTCATGCTCCCTCTATAGATTATCACTTAATGCCACTGTCTAAACCTCAACTTGGCTTAATACGTATGATTGCCTAATGAGTGCCTTGTGGTATTTGACTATGTCAGACATTAGGGATCTGAAGATGAAGTAGTGAACAAAACCCAAACCTTTGTTCTTAGAGTTTACATTCTAATAAGGATACACTTAAAATAGATTATCAAGTGATAATAAAAGTTATGAAGAAATCAGAATAAAGTAAAAATAATAGGCAGAATTCAAGAGAGATCGTGCCTAGAGATCTTATAAGGAGAAATTTATGCAAGGGCCCTTATAGTCTCTCCTAACCCTGACAGATTTTTTACATTTCTTTTTTGATGGTAGCCATTCTGGTTGGGGTGAGAGGGAATCTACAGTTTTGATTAGCATTTCCTTGATGGCTAAGGATGTTGAGTACTTACTTTATAATGCATATATTGAAAATTGGTTAGTTCGCTTGCCCACTTACTGATTATACTATTTGTTCTTTTGGTGTATAATTTTATTTATATATTCTGGATATTAATCCTATATCCTATATCTGATGTATAGTTGGCAAAGATTTTCTGTAGGCTGTTTATTCTCTCTGCTTGTGTTTCTTCAGAGGTGTTCAGGAATTTTAGCTAGTGGCCTTCCTTTTTTTTTTTTTTTAAAGGGAGGAGGGGTTTGGTTTGGTTTGGCTCAAGGATTTGTAGGGTATAGTCCCCCACAGTAAGGACAGCATGGCAGAATTAATGGTATTGGAAACTTGTAGCAGAGTCTCCTCACCTGGTGTAGACAAGAAATCTTAGCTAGTTTTTAAAGCACAGATCTGTCATTGTTCTTTTGCCCATGGTTCCTCATTGCCCACCCCCACATGGATGGAGTCAGTTCACGTTTAGATTAATGTCACTAACAGTCTGTAAGCTGTAATAAAGCAGCTGGGATCTTAAGTGGTGGCATTCTATATTGGATGTAGGATACATATAGATAAAATATGAAAAATCATTTTTTAGAAAGAGCATTCTTAGGAGGAAACTGTAAAACCATTAGTAGGAATTGATGAGATAGGGACACTTGTGAACTGAATACAGTTGGAATCACACTCACATATATTACTGAATCGCAGTTAAAATACAGAAGATGAATCTGAGAGTGGTAGTGTATGCCTATGATCCCAGCACTGTGAGACTGAGGCAGGGCTTGAGTTCTAGGTCAGCTTGGGCTTCATAGGAGACTGCCTAAAAAGAAAAAAAGAAATAAGATGTATGTTTGCATATAGTTGTCTGGATAATTATAGCTTCTATTGATTGTGTTGACCATCAGCCAGTTAGCCACTGTTTCTATGTATGTAGATGTGTGTATATAGATTTGTGTATTATATAGTCGGATATAAGGAATAGTTTACCCAGAAGTTTGTCTCCTCTTGAAATTAAGGAAGAAAGTGGCTACAAAAAGTCATTTTTTTCCACAGAAGGAACATATATTTTTCCAGGATTGTCTGAATGTTTTTAGAATTTGTAAAATAATATGCTCATTTTAGAGTTAGGGCTGGAATATCTTCATTTCTATTTTAAGTCTCTTATTTTTCCTTTACCATATATTTTTATATAAGTTGGATTCAAACTTAGGATTTCTAATACTAGACTCTTAATCACTATGCTCTATAGTTATGCTTTTACCATGATTATTAATATAAATGGAAATAAATCTAGCTTTCTAGTTTTGAGGGAGTTTTATTTCTTCCTTTTTTATATTATTATTTATTATTATTATTTTCCCCTGAGACAGGGTTTCTCTGTAGCTTTGGAGGCTGTCTTGGAACTCACTCAGTAGACCAGTCTGGCTTTGAACTTACAGAGATCTGCCTGTCTCTGCCCCCATCTCCCAAGTGCTGGAATAAATGGTGTGCACCACCATTCCTTGAGGGAGTTTTTAATTAAGTCAAGTTAATCAAGAATTTCATCATGGAGTAATGTACCAAACATTACTTTTTTTTGAAGGAGATTATATAGTTTTATTATTACTTTCTTTAATCATATGAAACGATGCACTAAATTCACAAACCAGATTAGGTGCTGGTACTGAGTGTCTTGAGTCAGAACTTTCACCAGAGCTGCTTGAAGATACTTACCAATCACATGATCTGTGTTGTTGGATTTTAGGCCCACTGAAGTCTGTTTAAGGATTTAGATTGTAAAGCCATAGCAAGATGTTATACATGAAGTTAAAGTTACCTTTGAAAGTCTGTATTTTTTACAGTCTGCTTTACTATTCATACTAAAGTTACCATTTTTAATTTTTGCTTTTTTGGCATGAGTTATTGAAATACAGTATAACAAGTCTCTGTGTCACTTTTGAGCTTTCCTACTCTGTTCTTTCCATAGTTCAGAATGATGACCCACTCCCCTCCCTCCCTCTCTCCCTCCCCTCTCTCCCTCCCTCCTCCCTTCCCCCCTCTTTCCATCCCTTTTCAGTAGGGCATAGCTCAGGATTGCCTTGAACTCCAGGTTTTTCAGCCTTAACTTCCTGAATGCTGTGATTCCAGGCTTGAGCCATCATCTTTTAATATTTTAAAAAAGTAATTCAGAACACTTTGTCGTTCTGTTCAGTGTATCTTATTGGCGTTCCATCTCACTTGGCTAAGAGCCAGTTTCCACGACTGCCTTCAGGGGCTGTATGCTGTAGACTACATTCTTTGATTTCATCGTCTGTCACCCTTTGATGTAATATCTTCATTCTTTATTAGCTCTTGTTTCTTGCTGCTCCTGATAAACTTTCACCTTGGGGCCCTTTTTCTTGTGCTTTGCTCTGCTTGAGGACTCTGATCTAAATGTCTGATGCCTTTCCTCTTGAGGGATGCACCTGAAATGAACTTCACCAATGCTCCATTTAGAACACCACATTTTCTGTCTCCATTCTTGCCTTTAGTCAGTCATTTTCATTTGAAAAAGAAAAGCAAATATTTTTCAGATCATAAAGGAATTAGAAAAAGGAATTCTAACCATATTTTCTTCATCCTAGCAGAGCTTATTTGTTTTTAGATTTCTTTCATACCTTTACCTATAATTAATCATAGTTTACGTTTTTCAGTTCTGTCAGTACTTCTATATATAACTCTAAGAAAAACAACAAAAAGACATTCAGGGCTAGGCATGTTATCTGTATAGAGCGGGATCTTATTTTTCCATACTTTTTATTATTGTCTAGCTCTCTTTCATTAACAGTTTTCAGTTTCAGTTGAAGTTCCACAGTAAAAAACAACAAAGGAAAACATCTATCGTCACTGCTGCTCCTCCTCATTGTTACTGATAAAATTCCTATTGTCTGTTCGTGCAATTTTGAGTCCTTTGTAAACTCTGCAGTTTGAAATAGGAGATAGGATGAGGTACTTTTGTGGCCGGTATTTAAAAATGTTCTCCTCCTAAATAAAATTGCATAAGGTGACTTAATATAGCATGTGAAAAGTTGTGGTTGTACTCTGAAATATGTTTTGTTTTATAGGTGATCATGAATCAGGCAGATAAAAATCAAGAAATCCCGTCTTACCTCAGTGATGAACCACCTGAAGGTAAGCATGTATCCAACACTGAGAATGGAAGGAACATACTAGAAATTAAAGCTAGGATAGTTTGTAAGAACTAAATATAAGAATCATAGTCTTTTTATCTGGTCAATAAACATGTTCAAAAAATAATTTAAATAAATATTTTTAACCTTTAATAAGAAAGCACAGACCTTGTTTAAGGTTTATTTCCCATTGTTTAAGGTTTATTTTCTTGTCACACTTTTAAGACTTATTTCACAAGCAAGAACATCTGTTTATTTGAAAGGTGTGGGAGGTACAGGATGGTCTGTTCATTTTTCATGTCCTGCACAACTATAACTTAAGGCTTGAGATTTTAAAAATTCCTGTCATTCATTACATTATAATTGACACCTCTCTATGTTCATATATGATCTTAGGCTCTGATTAATTTGTCTTTCTAAATCATAACTATTTCAGCTTGAAAATTATAACACGAATCACACTTGTTTCTAAAAGCTTTGGAAACACTATTTGCCTCCTGAACCTCAGTGTCCTGACTCTGTACAAAAAATGCCAGTAGTTATATTTCACTCATGTTTTTAGTATAAACTTTCTAAGATTCACATAAACAATGGTTTCCTTGGGGCTGTATGTGGCCCCTGGGCTAGATGTCCTAACTCTAGGAATTGCATTTTCTTCCCAGATTGTTAGGCACAAATCAAATTTCTGGAAAGATATAAAAACAAAAACCCTGCAAAATATAAAAATAACAGTAAGAATCTTATAGATAAGTATAAAAGAAGATGGATACACTTGTCTGCCATGGTGGCTGACGCATGTACTCTCAGCACTGTGAGGTAGAAGCCAAGGGTAGCAAGTTCATGGCTTGTCTCCATAGTGAGACTCCCCCCACTCCTCCACCCCCCACAACTTTATACTTGGTTTAATTTAGTTTAATGGAAAAATAACTTGAAAATTAGCTCAATATTTTTTTTTTTTAAAGAACAAATTTGTATAAGCTTAAAATATACTCTGGGTATATGTAATTTACAAATACATAGTTTTTGAATGTGTTTTCACTTTCTGTGTTTTTCTTTTTGAAAACTTGTTAACCAGGTGTCATGGTGCGCAACCTTAATCCCAGCACTTAGGAGTATCTCTGAGTTCAAGGTCAGCCTGGTTTACATAGTGAGTTTCAGGACAGTGAGGGCTACATAGTGAGACCCTGTCTCAAAAAAAGAAAAACAAAACATAATATCTGTTTTGTTTTCTTTGGAGATAGAGTCTCTCTGACAAGTAAAAGCCACTGTTCCCTGGACTTCATCTTCAGAAAAAGATTGTGTATCTTAGTAAAGTTAAACATACTTCCCTTTTGAGACAGGGTCACCTTATGTAGCCGAGGCTAACTTTAAACCAAGATCCTCTTGCTTCTTCAGAACTCTAATTGAGGACACAGAGTTTCCTGCTTTGTTTTTTTATTTTTTCAGGATTTAATATAATTTTATACCTAATATATTCAAGTGCTTACCTGTATCTTAAGTCCTTTATTTTTAGCCATTTAAAATGTATTAGCTTTATAGTATTTGTATTTGAAAAATAAATTTAGCAATGTCTATGTCATATACCTGTGTAATATTTTATTGGTTTCCCATATTTTACATACAGGGATCATGGCATTTGTTTTATCTCATCTCTCTTTCCCCGTTTCTCACCTCCTTCTTTCTCTTTCCTTCCTGTTTTTCCAGTCATCTGTGTTCCTTTGCCTTCTTGTCCCATTTTACCCTCTTTATCTCCTTTGTAGATTTTTAGGTTTTATCTGCATTTCCTCTCATTTGTCTACACACATAAGCTAGGACCCAAAGTTGAGAGCAAGCATGCAGTTCCTTCTTTCTGAGTTTGGGCCACCTCCCTTAATATAATGCTTTCCAAACCCATCCGTGTTTCTGCTCTTTACAGCTCACTATAATTCCACTGTGTATATGCACCACATTTTCAGTATAATCTCTCGATGGGCGTCCAGGCTGGCTCCATGTCTTTGCTGTTGTAGATAGAGCAGCAATAAATATGGATGTGAAAGTAGCTCTGGTTTATGGTGTGCTGTCTTGAGTATATGCCCAGGAATGGCATAGCTAGGTCACACGAGAGTCCTACTTTTAATTTCTTGCGAGACCTCCATAGTAATTTCCATAATGGCTGTACTGGTTTGCATTCCATCAAGCAGTGAACATGGGTTTCGCTTTTCTCAAATCCTCACCAGCGTCGGCTATTAGTTTTTTATTTTTCTTTGCTTCTTTTGAGACAGGGTCTCTTGATAGCCTTGGCTGGTTGGGAACTTTATATGTTGTTGGGGAAAATCAGAACCAATTTTACTTGCAAATGCTACAATGGATACTTTGTGTATTAATGTGTTAAATAAGTATTTAGAAAAACAAGCAAACAAACAGAAAACTATATAGATATCCTGCTTCTACCTCCTGAGTGCTGGGATTAAAGGAGTGTACCACTGTATCTAGTTATTAGTTTTGATGGTAGCCATTCTTCCTTGGGTGAAATGGTATCTCACAGTAGTTTTAATTTGCATTTTCCGGAGGGCTAAGGTTATAAAACACTTTGATTGGTTATTGCTTTTTGTGTATATGATTTTCATACTTTAATAAAATCTGGATATCAGTTCTCTGATATACAGCTGGCAAAGATGTTCTCCTGCTGTGTATACTATTTGCTCTTCTGATTATTTCTTGTGCTGTCTAATAACCTTTTAATTTCATGTGGTCCCAATTGTTCATTCTGGAGTCTATTTCCTGCCTGATGCACTATTCATTGTTTTAGAAAAGCTCAATTTTAGAACTTTCAGATAAAAGATTTGGTCTACGGCCATACCACCCTGAAGGCGCCCCATCTTGCATCTTGTCAAATAAAAGATTGATTACTTTAGTGATCCTGCTTGTGTGTTTTTGTAACTCTTTACTGTGTGGAGTGATAGGAGACAGGTTCATCCTTACAGTGCTTCTGCAGTTAGTCTCTTGTGTTGTATATCATCTAGGTCCTAGGACTCCCAGTTACAGGTTTATGAGAGAATGAAGTGAAGAGACAATGCCATCTTAATAATACTTTGAAAGAGGTTTTTTTGTAATGTGTCCCCTTCCCCCAAAAGTCCTTAGAGATTCCCAGAGCTTCTTGGGAACCATATAATATGAAGATGATTATTTTGGTAGTTATTGAATGAACCCTGCATAAGAAATTTTTTCATATTCTGTAGGGTAAAATTTTAGTAATAAAACTGTGAGTTGGGAACTATTTAAAATCTTTTAAAATAGGATTCTATTGTAGAAAGCAGTTTAGTCTCTACAGTATTTCTTGTTACAGGCAAGACATAGCATTGAGCCACACGTGTTATGTGAGACAATATATTCCAGGATGGACATACATCTACTCACTCTAGATAGGAAACCATTGATAGACCAAAGTCTACCTTGATAATCCAGTGAGTTTAATTGGGGTTACTCATAAGAGTAGAAATGATCAAAGACAGCTGCACCGCCAAAGTCCACTGCAGTGTGGGTGACAGCTCACAGACGCTGGAGCCTGGAGCACACTGCACAGTCTGCAGACAGCTTCACAGGTTGAGAATGCCCTTTCAGGCTGCTTAACTGGTCTGTGCTTCCTCCAGGCACCTCAGCTTGTGTGAACATCTCTCAGCAATCCTTATTGTTTAGATATGCTTGGGGAGGAAGGGCCTAGTGAATCTGGTCTGTTTCAGGAACTTCATGAAGCTATTTTGATTTGTTTACTTTTTGAGCTTGAGGAGCTTCTAAAATGGAATACTCCATCTTTCCTTTAATAAAATATTCTGTTTCTTAACTAGCTTCCCTCCAAAATAGAAGATCTTAATATCTGAGAAAATTGTTACACAACACTAGCTGTTGGTGCATGCTACAATCTCAGTGTCTGTGAGCAGAGGCAGGACAATTGTGAGCTGGAGGAAAGCATGGACTACACTAACAAGTCCTTGCTTCAGAAGGCTTGGCTCTGGGCCAAGGAATAATATAAAACTTCTGCAGCTGGACTTAGGAGAGCTCCTTACTGTTCACTCAATACAGTGGAGCTTATGAGCTGGAGCTCCTGGTTGTAAGAAGTTACTTTATGCTTTGTACTTTGTTTAGAAAGACCTGTATTTAACCGGCATACTATTTTTTCTCATTAGGGTCAATGAAAGATCACCCACAACAGCAGCCAGGCATGTTGTCTCGTGTGACTGGCGGCATCTTCAGTGTGACGAAGGGAGCTGTTGGCGCCACCATTGGTGGTGTGGCTTGGATTGGTGGAAAGAGTCTTGAGGTGACCAAAACAGCTGTTACAACTGTGCCTTCCATGGGAATAGGGCTGGTGAAAGGAGGCGTGTCTGCTGTGGCTGGAGGTGTGACAGCTGTTGGTTCTGCTGTTGTAAGCAAAGTGCCCTTATCAGGAAAGAAGAAAGACAAGTCTGACTAAGAGAGGAGGTACACTTGTACACCTGCACACTTGTTCTCCACAGCATATGATGCCAGTGGCATTGAACTGCTCAATTACAGACTACAGCCAAGTCAACCACTAAACTGCTGTGTTGAAAGTATTGATGGCTGGCTTCATCTAAAACAAGAAGAGACCAATACTATCCCAGTGTATGGAGGCTTCTCATACTTAAGTTCAGCTTTTTATCTGGAAAAATGTTACACATACTCAGTTGTAACTGAAGATATGGTCTGTTTAAATATTTGCTCTAAGTCTTTCAGTTTGACTAAAAATGTGAAAGTTCAACTAAGTAGATGACTTTACAGTTCCATGTGTACAGTGTGCCAGGTGACTCATGACCCTTATGAAGGGACTCCTGAACTACATAAACTGTACCTTTGATGTGCCTAATAGTTTCAGGTGTCTTAGTTTTTTTTATAACTATAGTGGTTTAGGCCAAGAGGCATTTTATTTAAGCTGGCAGAAAAGTAGCAGGAATTCAGAAGTTTAAAAGATGAATGGTTTATGATATTGTTAATTGTTTTTTGTTAGATAAACATTCTGTTTGTTTAATCATTGATGCCTTACAAAAGAAAACATCTTTTCTAATACCTTAAATTTGTGCAGTTCTTATAATTATCAGTGAATTCTTTTAAAGGTTGTAAAACTAGTTTTCCCCCTTAAGAATCTCAGGAGTATTGAGGTAAAGGCGTTTCCTGGTCTCAGTGGGTAAGATAGCACTTGTTAGCTGTTGTCAGTAGTTAGCATCAAACACATGCTTTAGTTGGGTTCATGGTCCTATCAGTAATACACCCCACAGTGCCTATGGAACATTTCTTAGCTGATCAAAAGCTGTGTGGGAATAGTCTTAGATTAAGAAGGAACAAGTATTAGTTTTTAAATTCTTATAATTATCTGAAGCATCTAAGATAATTCTTCATGCATATTCTGTCTTTAGGATGTCTTAAATTATCAGTAGCAGTTCCTTTATAAGTGTAATACAAGCAGCCACCAATATATTAATGAGGATTGACTCTTCAGATGAATGAGATGGGCTCCATACATTGGCTTTGAATAAAAAATATATAAGTGCTTTCAATGACTTATATAGGTTTTGTTTTTTTGTTTTTGGCTTGTTTTTGTTTTAGTTTTAAGATGGGATTGATCTCCTGTAGCCTAGGCTGGTCTTGAACTGGATATGTAGCTGAGGAAAACCTGGAGCTCCTAATCCTTTTGCCTTTGCTTCCCAAGTGCTGGGATTCAGGCATGTGTGAGACACCATGCCTGGTTTATGTGATGCTACGGATGGAACCCCAGACTGCATGCATGCTAAGCAAGGATTATATCAGTTGAGTTGCACCTGCAGTGGGATGTATTCATGCTTTTAAGATAGGTTCTTTATAATCCTTTAAAGCAGATATAGACATACCATTTTTCAAGTCAGTTTCAGTAGGGAGGTGACTTTTATATGGATGGTAAGTGTGTTGTCTTGATGTGTCATCTTAGCTCATTCATTCTTACAGAGCGTAACTCAAAAGTCCATTTCTTTTTGTTTCAGTGTTCAGTTTCATGGAAATTTAATGATTGAAATATATATTTGGCATTTATTTTATAATCTAAGCCTGGGGGAAAAAATCTTAAATTTTCTTTATGCCGAAAACTAGAAATGTGTCTCCATTTCTGCCCCTTCTAACTTCCTGGGAAGAGGATGGGTGTGGTGCCTTGACATAGATAAATCAACATGTAGTGTCCCAGAGAACAGGAGATGATCACCCTAACAAACATTTAAGTGTTTGTAACTCTTTAAGAGTGTCTATTAGTAATGTGAATCAACAACTAGGTAAAACATCATAAATAACAGCAGAACGTCCAGGAAAATCCATAAATGTTCTTGGACCTTTATACTTGCTTACACAAAACTTAAAATCATTGAGGAGTTAAATTCAGAAGGAATTAAATGGCCATTTAGTTCATGTACCGTAATTTAAGAGACATTTGTTGGTACATCTGGTGAAATGTCTTAACAAATGGTATTTTTTTTTTTTTTTTAATTCTAAAGTTAAATAGACCCAGTCTCAGTGATCTGAATAATGGTATTGGAGAACTTGATTCCTGCTATTTAGAAAGAATTGCTTCATTGCTAGTTTATATTTCTAACAGGCTCTGCTCTGCTTTGTCCTTGAATTTGTCTAAGTGTAGACTTAGTTTATATGTGCTTGCATATTTATTTTCAACTTAGCAAAGTCTTTAAAATCTCTTGAGGAAATGGCTATAACTAATTTTTTGCTACAGAAAAGCCACCTGGTAAATTTTCTCAATTGTCTTAAACGCTAAAGTACAATTTTGTTCAGAGGGGCTTTTTCAACATAGCAGAGAACTGTACAGATGTACAGTTAGCTGTAGTTCTAACTGAAATGAACTTGCCATTTGATGATGTATACAGCTATATACTTGAGTCTCTTCCAGTTTATTTCTGTCGACTAGCAATTTCACCTGTTAAACAGGACTAGTTCACTTCAGAAACTATGGCTGTTGTATACACCTAGAAGCATCTGTTATTCAGCTCCTCTTTTGAGTGGGTTTTGGCACAGTGAAGATAAATTTGTGTGATCCACTTGAATAAATGATCTAATAATGTTGACATATGAATACTGTATTTAGTGAAATGTCAGATGAAAATAGCTGATTGAATAATGCGGGTTTTTTGTATTAAAGGGATGGGAAAGAACACATGAATCTGATAATAAAGGACTATGATCTGCAAAGATGGAATGTTTCATAAAGATATACAGAAATAAAGGCAATTTGTAAACAGGATCTTCTTTGGTTACATAGCAGTTCAGGAAGTCTTGTAGTCAGATTTTTTGGTGATAGTTTACAAATATGATATGTGGATATGGAAGAACAGTAAAATGCAAATATAATTTAAATGACTAAGACTGAAAATTCAGATGTCTAGGTTTTGTCATCTCAGTTTGCTCAGTCTCTGCAAATTAGGACCCAAAACTTAACCATCTTTGTGGGTCTTGCTTAGGTACACTAACGTGTGAACCCTGAGGATTACACCTAGGCAGCACTCCTCTATTGTATATTATAAGGGGGCCAACCTAGATCGCTGCCACAGGGATCCCATGCCCACTTCTCCAGGGCTGGGGTTATAATTGGCCTTTTTAATGTGAGTTCTAGGAATCAAAATAACTTAGGGTCTCATGTCCCAAGCCCTCTTCATTAGTATAAACCTATCCTACATAGCCCTCTCCACCAGTCACTCCTGATAAGGTCAACCAGCGATTGCCCTTTCCAACTTTATTAGTTACTTCTCTACATCTTGGTTGCCTCTTTCGTGGTAATCTCATCTACATGGCTTTAAATGCTACAGTAATGCTACAGTTAATATTTATTCTCTACTTCTGACTCCCCACAGCTCTGTACTTGGACATTTGCCTGTTATTAACCATCTCAACTGACAGGTAACTGTAGAGGACCACATAGCCTATAGTGTATTTCAAGCCTGCATTGAGAGCTCGGGCAAGTACATGGATTACTGATATCGCCAGGACAATGCTCTAGAGGTCCCCACACTCAGAATGTGCTGCCCTGCATGGAGGATGCACACATGCACGATCTTTCATGCATATATTAAGTACACACTGGTGACTGAATCTGAGGTGAAACATGCACTCTGCCACTAAGCTGCCCTTGGTCTTAACATTTTTCTTGACAGTCCTGAGCGCTTTGGGTAAGTGCCTTACTTACATTGAGTCTCACTATAGAATGTTAAGTAGGCTTAAACTCGTGAGCATTTTTTGCTACTCAATTTCCCAGCTAAGGAATCGAACAGATTTGCATAGTGAGAGATACTTGCCTTTGCTAAGAGAATGGGAAAAAGGATACTGGCCACATTTTTCATTATATTTCAGAAGCTTTGCACTCTGCATAGTCAGCTGGTTGTGCATTACAGCCAATGAGTATTAACAGCTGTTAGAAACTGTACAGCTGAAAGCCAGTCCTTATCTGGGTAATGCTTATCTTGGGACAGGAGTTGGGAATGGAAGTGGAAACACTGACTAAAAGTGGTGTCACATGAAGTAGATTTTTAGGCTTTCTAGGAAACTATGTTCATTTCAAGTGCATGAATTTAGTTTGAAATTTCAGCTTCCATTTTAACACCTCCCGCCACCCGTCTGTTTGTATTCCTTCCTTTTGCTGTACAGGGAAAGGTGGATATCTTTTCTATTCTTGAGGCCAAACATAATTTGGTCTCTGTGATGAAATGAGGTTCATAATGAATATGTGTGTGTGTGTTACAGATTTCAAACTGACCATGGAAGTAGGCTCTTAACGGGATCCTTTTAGTTGAGTAACATTGTCAAAGACACTATTCCACACACAAGGTGAAGTCGGTCCTCTATAGGAATGTGTCATTGGCCTGTTAGTGACTCAGGGCTGGTGGTGAGGAATTACACTTTGGTAGCAGCCTAGGAACAAAACTATCCATGTGCTCTCATCAAGAGTGTATTCTTGTCAGTTCCTTCAAAATGATCCATGTGAATTATCACACTGTATGGTGTTTAGAACTAATAGTTCAAGGCCAAAGTTACTAATTTTATTTAAACACAATTTGTATTCTAAAATACAGCAAATGAGTCAGACAGAGGCTCAACCATGCGGTCACTTGAATACAACTCAGGAACTCAGTAGGTCCTGAGAGTGACTGGTGCTTGTGAGCTGACTTGTTAAGTCTTTGTGAATTGGTCACTTTGCCTGATAGAAATGAGTTCCATGTCATTCTTCCACATGTAATGATGCCACAGGGTTAAACAGTGGCCTGCCTTGCTTGGCTTGCATTTTGCTAAAGTTAGCCTCAAACTCCGTTTTTGTTCCATTTAGACTTGGTAGATGCCCATCCTTTATTCTGTAGCCTAAAGAATTCAGCTTCCTTATCCTGTATTGAACTATTTGTGGCGTCAACTCAAGGACCATTGGTGACTGTCTTATCTGAGCCACGGTGATTCCTTCCTTCAGTAGTTCCTGGATTCTCTCTTCTAGGACTGGAGCAGGGTAACACAGCAGTGAAGGGCAGTTCACAACCAACTGCCGCAGGTCATGGTCTGTGCACTCAAAAGTCATCTTAGTGAAGGAGATACTGCTCTGGATGCTTCCTGGCTGAAGTTGGAAAAGAAACCCTTTAAGTGTGGACAGAAGCTGAAGAACTTCAGAGTTTGTGAAGCCTTGCCCTTGAAGAAATTGTAGTATTTGGCCTACAGATGTGGGAGAACTCAACAGAATGAACGGATTTTGGCTCAATAACTTCAGTAGCCACACTTTAGCGTTGGCCTGAGAGCCACCTAAGTTTAGGTAGCTCTCCTGGAGAACGCTGATCATTTGCCTGTTGTTCTCTACAGGATTGTGGAAAATGCTAGAGGCGGTCGTCAGAAACCTGCTAATCACCACATTCTTGAGTCCCAGCTCTTGTAAGAACTGGACATTCAGCTTCTGGATCTCCTGGTCCTTGACAGTAAAGAAAGGCTCTGGAAACTGCTCTATTAACCGGATAAGCTCTGCCTCGTTTTTGCAGACCATCTGCCAGAGTTTTTTTTTGGCATTAACAGCAGCAGGGCTGCAGACAATTGCTTCTGGACAGCGTTCTAAAATGCTGGCTATCACAGTTTTGTTGGCACCTAGTTCTTTCAAAATATTTGCAATCTCTTCAACATAGGTGTCATCCTCCAGAAGTACCCAAGCTTTCAGTCTGCGGATTTTCCTGATGTCAACTGAACATGCATGGAGCTTTTCCACCGTCCTCTTGTTCTCTTTGTTTGGCTGTCTGTCTGTCTGATAGGTGACACATGCTGAACATTTGATTTTCAGAGCTGGTTGTGTCTTTCTGAAAAGACACAGCCTGCAGAGCTGGTGTCCTGTCAGCATCCTCCACGACATTCTGTAAGCACTGGCTAATTCCCACATCCTAAACTGAGAATGTCCACACTGTGCCTGTAAGGAAGATGAACATCTTAAAGGGACGTTGACTTCTAGAACAGACACTTGAGTTCTAAGAACAGAAACCTGAATCCTAAGCAGGAACTGGAAATGAAAGATTTACGCTAGCAAGGAAACCTTACCCCATTCCATTAAACAAGTTATCATAATTTAAGGCATCTCACCCTTTATAAATACATTGTCTATGTGAGCTCTGCATCCACCCTGTGAGGTAGGATTACAGGACAGGAGGCCATGGGCTTCAAAGTTTCATAGGCCTCAACTGTTCTGACACAAATTATCTTTCTTAGAGCAGTTATGTTTCTTTCTCTCTCTTTTTTTAGGTGGCATATTACACAGGTAATTGTTCTTTTCAAGTTTTACATTTTTCAGGTTGATGTTTAGCTCAGGTACATACTTAGAAGGGAAGAAGTTCATCTTTCAGTTTTTTTAAAAAGTATTTTTGCTGATGAGCTATAATCCAAAGAGGTCAGTTTGTTTTATTTGAAATGAGTTAATAAATGCATTATTTGCTTTATTAGAAATATGTAAACTTGCAACGTGTTTTTATAATTACAGGATTAAGGCCAGTTTTAGCCAGGCAACCTGAGAAGTGCTATGTGATGGCCTTAGCGAGACCTCTGGAAATCAGGTCAGCTGTGTGATGGTGACCCTTTCACCTAGTGCTACTCCAGCCATGTCTAACCTGGCTCTAATTTAGGGAGTAATGTTGGGCAAATTAGCTGCCTTCAACTAAACACAGTCGTTATTTGAGCAGCACCTCACATCTACCCAAATATTGCTTGTCATCTCCATTAGGAGATGGCTACATCCACTGTCTGAAGCATTACAGCCTCTGCCAGTGTAAGGGGCTGTAATAGTTCACTTCCATCTTTGGGTCCTGGCTGGGCCCATGCAAAAAAAAGCAACATAAAGTGGTCAACAGGCGAGCGTGCAAATTCATTTCATACAATGTCACATCATGGAAGCCCATACAAAGAAGACAAGCCCCAGAGAAGGACGGGCTGTGCTGAAGTGGACAAACAGTAAGATGCCAGGAAGCAACACCACTGTGACGAGCTTAAATGTGAAGTTTTTTTCAGTAAGGCTTGGTCTAGTTATCTTTAAGTAGGGCTGTTTCCCATGAAAGCTTCACCCACTCGAAGAGAAGAGTCAAAATCACCCAGCACCTATATTCAGGTGGCTTTAATTCAGAATCGTCTATGTGGCATGTCTTGTTTCTGGTAACATGCACATGCCCTAGGCATTTGGTAAATTTAGTTCCTGGAATGTTCTTGAAGTGACAGCCCTGCCACACACAGTGCTGTTCAGTGCTCTGCATCTCCCTGTACTCGTAGATTTGAAAGAGTAAGTACGAAGACGGCCATTTCCAATCTTTGCCATTGCCAGTGCTGTCCCCACAGGCTGGTGACTTTACAGACCGGTAAGGAGTGTTGCTTGGTGGTGGTGGCTCACTTCTGGTACCTATGGTGGCAGGTAGACCTAGCTTGTTTTACTCCATGAGAGCTTTCTTTTTTAACAGGAAAGACATGGTAAGTATGCCGAAGTCCAGGCAGATCTGGGCTGGGCTCTACTCCCTCCTCACTGTAGTTTCTCTACATGTAGACCTCTCATCCAGACAGCTTGTGGGAGAGGCTGAAGGGTCTGTAGCTGAACTGCATATGAATTACTATAACAATGCCTCATGGGAAACTTGCCAGTGAGGATTAGAAACAGCCCTGCTCTGTAAATGAGAACAGCACCCACACCTTACAGGGTACCGTCAGAGTTAAATGCATTTTAAGTATGCTGAGGACAGCCCAGCACCTAGTAAGTATCTAATAAATGGTAGTTACATTACCACTGGGAACTACAGGGAGCCAAAGTCTTGCAGTGATACAACTTTAAACTGGATTATAATGTGAACTCGGGAGGGGGAGTGGATCTGGAAAAGGAGTTAGGGTAAGAAGGCAGGGATGAATATGACAAAAATATATTGTATGCATGTATGAAATGCTCAGAGAATAAAACTATACTTTAAAAAAGGTTTTGAAGAGATTGCTTGGCCTTTCATTGTGAGACAAATAAAAGATAACGTTGGGAGGAACAGGCTGTCCTCAGACAGACTCTGCAGGCACCTTGGGTTTGGCCCCTGCATCCTCTAGAACTGATGAGTAGTAAACCTCTATCATTGTGATTAACCTGTCTAAGGGGGTAACAGCCCTTATGTATTAAAGCAAAATTTTTCTTCTGCTAAATAAAATCCCCCCAACCCCGAGTTTTAGATAGAAGTACAATTTACAAAGGGCAAATAAAATGTTTACATATGTCAGCTTTCCAAATAACTCCATAAAACACTCACTGCAGACTTGCTGGATTCTGAGGAACGTAAGGTGAAAAACTTATAACCCCACCATTTATAGGTAACCTAATACTATTATTTTTGAGATAGGGTCTCGCTATATCGCTCTGGATGTGTAGCCCAGGCTAGCCTCAAACTCATGTATCCATGCACAGCCCTGAGTTAGAATTTCAGGCATGTCCATGCTTGATGACAATAGTTCAGTTTATGGTTTTCCTGCTGATTCTCACTTCCTTGTTACAATATTTAAATATACAGAGCAAAGCTGCACTAGGGAATTACACCTGCATTCTGACTATAACTCTGAGCAAGTCCCAAACAGCCAACGGTTGCTTGAGGATTGGAGCAGATCTTGTGTAGCTCAGGCACCAGATAAAATAGCTAGCCATTTGAGGGTCCCATCTTGCAAAATGATAGAACATTTTCACGTCAAGCCATTCCCACTGTTAGAGGCGCCTATCAAATGAGGCAAAGGGAAAGGCAGGCTGCAACCCAATTCCTGTTTACTGAAAGGTACACTAGGAGGTCATCATAGGACCAGTCAAGGCTGCCTGTCTTGCTGCCCTTCTGCTGGGCAAACACCGCAGTGAAAATGGAAAGCCTGAATAATACACGTACATCACAGCTAAAGTCTAACTGGCATTAAAATGCTGGACAAGCATTTAGAATGAATGGCCTTCAGAGAGTGGCTGTGCTGCCTTCGGGTTTGCTACATGCTGAGCATCTATCTGCATTTCGTGTTTGCCCTTTAAAGTGGGCAACTTTAAAGTAGGGCTCTCTAGAGCCCTAGAGAGGAGTGGAGAGCTGCAAGGTTGCTATGCTTATCTTATGGTCAGGGAAATGCATCTTGGATGGCATCCTAAGGAATACAAGCATATAAGCAATTCTTGGTTATTCCGAAATGTGGAAAATAATTCACCGGTGAAGTGTTTTGTTATGACGCTGACCATTGGCTCATATGTTATTATTTGCCTTATGGTCTCTGTGCCTTTTTGTCCTTGTTACATCATAAAAATTAACAAGTATAAATGCTATGTAAGGAAAACAACATAACTTTTCTAGAATTGCATTCTCTGGTTCATTTTCAGTTGCTGTTACCTTTTAGCATTTCAAAGTAATCATTTTTTTTTTGAGAGAGAGAGAGAGAGAGGGAGAGAGAGGCTCTTTCTTCCAGTGCAGCCCTTTCTGATCCAGCTTCCAAATGTTGGTGTTACAGGAATGAGGGAGCTGTCACTTTTTAACAAGCTGTGGTAGATGTTAAGAAAGGCATGGTAGTATTTCAAACATTTTCAAATTTATGATTCAGTAGCATAGGGACAACTATTAACCCCTACAGCTAGGACTTGTCAAACACATGTGTAATGTTTTCAAAGTCCATTCATGTACCAAGTATCAAGACAAGCACATTTTTCTTTAGCTTTTCAGGCACATTCATTCACAACAGATTTTATGTTTGTGTGTGTGCATATGAGAGTGGGTACCATACGGAGGTCAGAGGACAACTTCAGGTGTTGGTTCCCACCTCCTACCTTCTGTGAAGCAAGACTTTCTCATAATTTATGATGGCCCCCTTTACCATACATCTGCATGAGCTTTGTTTGCAGGCAGTCTCCTTCCCCACCCACTTAACCTGGGCAGGATACTCCGGCTCCTGGCCCACGCAACACTTCCTTCTGTCAGACTGTCTTACTCTAGAAAAACTCCCTGTTCTGCACTGTCCACGGACAACCTCAGTTCTCTCAGCTCAGATCTGTAGCCAGCTGCTGCCATATCCCTTTCTTCACTCTCTGCCTTGTTTCTGCCTCACCAAGAACACCATATCTCCCCTTCAACCTTTTTGTTCCCTAGTACATGTAAAAGCCGTTTTTACAACAATTTATACTCTGATAACCATGTTTAGCACTGTGCATTCAAATTATTTTAAAACACACTGTATTGCTAAGAAAATGCTAATGATCATCTGAGCCTTGACTTCAGTCTTGGTAGCAGATGGCTGAAATTGATGGCCATGGAGTGATCAGTATTGATGGCTGAAGGTTGGGGCGACTTGAAAAATGTGTGTTTTGTTATTACTGCTGTATGTGTGTGAAGGCACCTGAGGATTGAACTCGGGTCTCAGGCTGGCTCAGTGAGTACCTTGACCTGTTTAGCCATCTTGCCAGCCCCGGCCAAGTTCTTAAAGTAAGACAATGAAGTCTGCTGCTTCGATTGATCTTTTCACAAGAGACTTCTTTGTAGCACATAATGCTGTTTGATAGCATTTTCCACACACAGAACTGTTTCTAACCCAAAGCCAGGCCTTTCAGACCGAGTGCTTTATCAGCTAAGTATATGTAATTCTTAGGACCTTTGGTGTCTGCCATCTTCTAAGGAATGGATTCCACAGCAAGCAACCACTTCCTTCATTCTTAAGAAGCAGCTCCACATGTGTGAAGTTTTATCTGGTGACTGAACAGCAGCCACATCTTTGGCTCATTTCTAACCCGACTTCTACCATATTCAGTATCTCCTCCCTTCACAAGCCCCTCAAAGGCCTGAAATCGGCTTCCTCCAACTCCCATAATGTCGCTGTCTTGTCTCCTCCCACAAATGTTTTCAA